CCTGCTCCTATGATGCTGCTTGGCCTGCTGTGTTCATCCAGCTCTACACCTTGTTATCAATGATTTAAACTTGATTAGTTCTCCCTTTTTTGAATCCACCTAATGATTTACTTTTTCCTAATCAATCTCAGTCCATATTCTCTGCATCTTCCAATTTCATTGTTGGAAGTTGTTCAGATGTTTATTAGATAAATACCTGGGCTTGTTTCTGCTTGACTTTATAAATGAGAGGTAGACTAATTTAAATGTACAAGATCAACAGTGGTCTTAACCAGGTGGACATGGAAATGATGTTTCCCCTCATGGGTGAATCCAGAACTAGGGGCGTTGTTTTAAAATTAGGGGTCACCCTAAGGTTTTCTGAGCTTTGTGTGATCTTTAAACTCTGCTTTGTAAGGTGGTGGAAGCAGACTCATTGAATATTTTTAAGACTGAGGTAGATAAGATTTTTGAGAGGCAAGGTAATCAAATGTCACCGGGAATAGATGTGGAAGTCAAAACAAACTGATTAGTTGTGGTGTTCCTGCATGGCAGAGCAGCACTGGAAGGCCAAATGGCCTAATTTGGAATTGTATATTACCTCTCACTTCCGAAACCACTGCCAAATTAATTTGAAGCCTCCCCAAGAGTATTATCCAATCACCATGCAAGATACTCAGTCCAAGCTCTATTTAGGTGCAAGCACCATCTCCCCTGGACTGGTCCTATTATTCTAAGAACCTAAAGGACAGTGAATGAGAATGGCTTTTATGTCACACTCACCTCCTTTACCTTCTGATTTCTATCCTTAAGATGTGGTACTTGGAGTAATCTGCAGATTACAGTTCTGAAGTTATGCTTGCTAATTCCATTCCTGAATTCTGACCATATTTCTGCCTACAGAATTAATGCCTGTATGGGCCACAACTGCTGGCTCAGGGTCTTCTGTAGCCACTCTCTGCTCCAGGAAGACAACACACCATCCTGGATTCCCATCTGAACAGACAGAAACCCTACCTACTTCTCTAACTACTGAATCACCTATCAGTACTGCCGTTCCAGAGACTTGTAACTCTGTTGTAAAGCTAAGACCAATGACGCCATGCACTTGGCTCTGGCTGCACTTCCTCCAGAGGAACTGAATACTAGTCATAGAGAGTAGTGTGCACTCAAAGGTCTCACATACTACCTACCCATTTCCTCAACTACTCTTTCATCACATTGTTCAAACTGACAACTAAATACTTGATACCATATTTAATATACACTACATGCATTTGAAATTAGTAGCATTTAAATGTGGTAGCATCATTAAGTGATCATACTAATAAGTGTGGAAATCACATACCAGTTCATAACAAGTGGTGAGAAATTTTAGGAAGTGCCAGAAATGCCCAAAATGCCCCTGCAATAGTGAATAGAATACATAAAAGTCACAGGCCCACTAGAACTCAGGGCCAACAGGTGAGATCACTTTGCAGTCCAACAAGGAAGAAAAAAAGCAAGTGCTTTGACCCCTTTTCCATGGCTCCCCCCCTTAAATAGTGGAGCAGGACTAAACGACCAAACGGCCCACTCCTGCTCCTAAACATTAAATTCCATGTTACAGCATATTTCATTTCCAAAGTGGCAACCTCCATCTGTAACTCAATCTTGCGCGACACAGTTGCATTCACGTAAAACAGTAAATGATTTGGACTTCATTAGTTCGCCCTTATTTTGAACCCACCTAATGACTTATCGGTGAGACCCACTCCAAACACCGTGTGTTCCTTCTCTCCTACCAGCCCCGGTCTTCTCTCCCTCCCAAACACATAGTATTTCTTGCTTCCTCTCCACAGTCCCTAATCGCTGGATGCCCCATACCTTTCAGCCCAATCCCCAAGTACCTCTTCCCACCCCAAAAAAAAACTTGCGCAATTTCTTTCCCTCCCCGAATCCGTAGATGTTCCTCTTCTCCCCCAGCCCTGACCCTGGGTGTCTCTTTCCCTCTTTCAATTTCTGACTTCCAAATCCCTCATCACTCTTCCCTTCCCAGACTAAACTCGCCCCCGCACCCCCATATCCCACCGCCGTGTTTCTTCCGCTCGCTCCTTCCCCCACCCCCGACACAAGGCCCCGGGTGAAAGACGCGGATCAGAATCGCCTCGATACTCAGTGGCCGGGCTATGAGCCGCGGCCTCATCTATCTGATCCGTTCATCAATTCCGCTCCGCCCGGGGCCTTTCCCGCCGCCTCCGCCCATCGCCAGCAGCTCGCGAGCGGTTTTTTCTCATCACCTCAGACCGGGGCCCGGGCCTCCCGGCCGATCAAATAAGATCAAGAGTGTAGGAGGGAAACGGGGCGGTTCAGGCACCTCACCGTAACACACGGACACTCACTCACACTCTCCCAAACGCACACTCATTGATTGATTGAAAGAATCAATCAATCAATCAATCAATCAATCAATCAATCTCACGTACTAACAAACAAACACACGCACAAGTCCGCCACTGCTCCCAATGAGCACGCTGCTAGCCAGCTCCCTCCTCTTATAATCTCGTGGACGAGCCGTTAGAGGCTGCAAGAAAAGCCCAAAATTCTGGGTTTATGTCGACCTCCCAATCCTTGCGCCCCCTGCAGTGTTCCAACGGTATATGGGAACTGGAGATAACAAGGTGCAGAGCTGGATGAACACAGCAGGCCGACGTTTCGGGCCTAGACCCTTCTTCAGAAATGGGGGTGGGAGGGGATGGTGGAAGGTGGATAAAGGAGCAGATAGGTGGAAAGAAGACGGACAGGTCAAGGAGGCGGGGATAGAGCCAGTAAAGGTGAGTTGGGATGGGGGTTGGTTAGTTGAGGGAAGACGCTTGGGAACCCTGCAGTCCAATAGTCTCAATGTGGACTTCACAAGCTTCAACATTTCCCCATCCCAAAACCAGCCAGCTCGTCCCCGACGCCTTGACCTGTCCATCTTTTTTCCCACCTCACTGACCAACCCTAACTCCAGCCTCCAGCTCCATCCCCGCCTCCTTGACCTGTCCGTCTTCTCTCCACCTATCAGCTCCTTTATCCACCTTCCACCATCGCCTCCTCTCTCCCCCGCCCCCCCTCTCTGTTTCAGAATTCCCTTCCCCTCCCCCATTTCTGGAGAAGGGTGCAGACATCCGAAACGTCAGCCTTGCTGCTTGGCCTGCTGTGTTCATCCAGCTCTACACCTTGTTATCTCAGATTCTCCAGCATCTGCAGTTCCTGCTATCTCTGATATAGGAACTGGAGTCGGCCGTGAAACCCATCAAAACTGATCTGCGATTCACTCAGAACTGCCGATGTTGGGGTTAGAGATAACATTGTAGAGCTGGAGAAACACAGCAGGCCAGGCAGCACCAGAGGAGCAGGAAAGCTGACGTGTCGGGTCAGTATCCTTCAGAAATGGAGCTGTTGTGAAGAAAGGTCCCGACCCAAAACGTCAGCTTTCCTGCTCCTCTCGTGCTGCCTGGGCTGCTGTGTTCCTCCAGCTCCACGTTATTATCTGCAATTCAATCAGATCATGGCTTAATCATCTACCTCAATGTCACTCTCCCACACTACAGCATAGTGGCTCAGTGATAAGCACTGCTGCCTCACAGCGCCAGGGGCTGTTCATGCCTGACGTTCTGTTCATGTCTGCATGGGTTTCCTTCGGGTTCTCTGGTTTCCTCCCACAGTCCAAAGATGTGCAGAAACGAAAGCAAAAATTGCTGGAAAGGCTGCGCAGGTCTGACAGCACCTGTGGGGGAGAAAGCAGGGTAATGTTTTGGGTTCAGTGACCCTTCCTCAGAATTATGGAAAGGTGTGCGGATTAGGTGAATTGGCCACACTGAATTGCCCCTAGCGTCCAGGGATGTGCAAACTGGGTGGATTAGCCATTGGAAATGCAGGGTTACCAGGATAAGGTAGGGGTGTGGGTGTGGGTCCGGGTGGGATGCTCTTTAGAGGGTTAGTGTGGACTCAGTGGGTCAAATGGCCTGCTTCCACACTGTAGGAATTCAATGATATCGTTTGGTGTCCAGAAAGCTATTGATCTCTGTCTTGAACATGTTAAATAATTGCATTTCTACTTCGATTTTATGTTTCTGCATTATCTAATGTCCCTTAGATTCTTAGATACTGAAGAAATCATCAATCCCTGCCTTAAATGGGATGGGACGCATCCAAGGATATCGATGAAAGTAGTGATGGAAATTTCAGAGACACTGGTCATTTTCTTCTAATCCTTTTTATATACAGGGATGGTGGGCAAAGGACTAGAAATTGAAAATGTTAATTCCAGCAAAGTTGAAGCCTATGGAATAAAAGGTAAAGTGACAGTATAGATATGAGAGATAAGTAGGAACTACAGATGCTGGAGAATCCGAGACAACAAGGTGCAGGGCTGGATGAACACAGCAGGCCAAGCAGCATCATAGGAGCAGAGAGGCTGACGTTTCGGGCCTAGACCCATGAAATTGGCCAAGATCAGGCTCATAGATTTAGTGAGCCTGAAAAGTGTACTGGAAAGAGAAAACCAAGCTAACAGTGAGCAGAATTCAATCAACTGTGAGTTGAAACAGGGATCAAAGATTTAAATTTAGGTAAGATATACTTTGGAGAAATGAAGCAAAAATTCACCACAATAGAATTGTGAAGAACGAGAATCATAGATTAGTTACTGCACAGGAAGAAGCCACTTAGCTCATCAATCTCATGTTTCAGCTGGTGCCATTCCCTTGCACTTTCCATTAGACTCATTCATGCTTACTACTCATTATGAAATCTACACTCTTGCTAGGATTGAATAAATATCAGCTTTTGTCTGATTATGTACTGATCCAATCATAACTTTGAAAAGGGCATTGAATAACATCTGGACAGAAGATATTGCAGGGCTATGGGAAAGGACTGGCAAGTGTGACTAGCTAAACTGCCATTGTAGAGTGCCATCATAGGCATGACATGTCAGATGGTCTCCTTCTGTGCTATAACCATTCTATGATTCGAAAACTCTTGGAATTCTGGAGCTCTCCCCAAAACGTTCTTGAAGCTGGGCTTTGAATTACCTAAAAATCTCAAAACTGTGATCGTAGATTTTTGTCAGATAAGAGTATTTTAAGGAATATCAAAGTAAGGTAGGTGGATGGAGTTAATAAACAAATCAGCAGTTGTGATCTAACTGAATGTCAGCAGATCAGGTTTGATGGGCCAAATGATCTCTTCCTGTTGTAAATAGTTTGATTCCAATATCCAAATGGTTTTCAACATACTCTGTTTATTGTACTTAACCAAGACCAGACATGCACAATGCATTTGACCAGTAGATACACAGAGAAATGAACAATATTACTGCATTGCCCCAGATAGGGTTGCAACTTTGCTGAACCTGACCCTATGCAAAAAACTTCAGAATTTTATAGTTTATTTCTCACCATCATTGTTGATTCACTTTGGCAAGACAAGTGTTATTGTACAGAAGAAGGTATATTTTCTTGAAAAAAAAAGACAACTTGGCTATCACCTGGGATTTAAATTGATATCCCGGGTTCCACTGTCCCACTTTGTATCTCAGGACTGTCTCAGCTATCTAACTTCACAAAAAATGAATAAAGATGTGCATTTTAGCAAAATCTAACAGCAAAGTCATTTGGATTGTACTTTGGCGCATTAAATTCCAAAGCATCCTGCTAATGAACTTTCCCAATTCCATTAGATGCAGTTACAGTAAAAATCTACAGCTGCCTAGTAGTGAAATTCAAGTAAAAGCTTTAACCATATGAAATGTAAACCGAATCCTAACCTTACGTACATAACATAATGAGACTATCTTATACTTTTACTACCAATATCTATGGCAAACAGTGACATGATAACGGTCAGAAGTGAGAGATAGAACACTTCCAATATCAATGGACTTGCATCCTATTGACGGTCAGCACCTGCAGGCAGGTAGGACACCTCTATTTCAATTGGAGTCAGCAACCTCAGGAGAGGAGGGGACCGCCATCCAGTTGGAATCAGCACCTTCAGGAGAAGAGTGGACCAGCATCCAACCAGTGACAGTCAGCATCCGCAGAGAGGAGGAAACATATATATTCCAGTGACAGCAGCTTCAGGAGAGGAGAATCTTTCTGTTGAGTTTTGAGAAAGGCAGTACTGACATAAAGTGAGGCAGGAGAGATTCTGATAGTGTGTCTGCTTATTTTTCAACATTTTTGTTTAATTTTTCAGAAATTATGTTTCTAAGTGACAGTAATTAACAAAACATGTCAAATAAAATATGATAACATGCACTGACTCACTGAAGCCAATAGTGTTGACAATGGACTCAGTCTTATAATCTAGAATTTGGATAAACTCTCATTTGGTTAATCTGGGTCTGTTCTTTTTATTTTAAGGCTATAGTCCATTCAATCCTGACATCCAATTGTCCTCATCATCCTCATGTTGTTTAAAGCAGCCACAATCCAAGTCAGCAATTCCTCCTAGTGGGAAAAAGGTGTCACTCTGCTCACTGCTCTTCCCTGCCATACATTTTAAATAAAACACCCATCATACCAAATAACTGAACAGTGAAAAAAAAATGTTTTTGGCAAGAAGATTGAGTGTGTTAATAGAGAAAGGGGGAAGTAACAAGAAAGTGAGGAAAATAAAAGGGAAAAGACAGGGAAGAAACACCAAGAGAAAGGTGATAGGGAGAAAGACGAAATAATGAGGAGGAAGAGCGGGCTGATATGGAGGTAGGTGATGGGGAGAGAGAGATAATGGAGGAGTGGAAATTGTAGCTGAAATCCATCCAGCTCCCACGAAGTAATCTCCAGCTGCCCATCACTATTGCTGCCATGTACTGAACAGTTGGTCTCGATGATCTCAGTTTATATCTCATATTTGAAGAAAAACCATCTCCAGTTCCTACAATGACTCAATCACGAAAAAGTTTTGTCTACAAGAAGAAGGAGTCAGACCCTGGGGAAAGTTTGGTCTCATTTCATTGGCATGTGTGGGAATGAGTCTTCCAGAGAATGTCACCTTTGGGAGCGCAGTTCGAAGTTGGAACTTCACTGTTAGTGAAACTCTCTCTTTATTTGGAGGTTGTCACTCCCTCCCTCCCTCCATGAAGTGAATTTGATGTCTCATTTTCAACTGTGAATGATCCCTCTTAGCTGATATGTTTTTCATTAATATAGAACACAGGTAGGTACAGACTGAGGACATGAGGATTTTATACTGAAGAATATTGATTGGGATCAAATGGAATTCTTGTCAGTCTCAGTGGAGAGGTCCTGTAAGTTCTCTGAGATTTTGTCATCAGATCTTCAAGAATTGTTAATCATTCACTTCCAGCTAAATGGAGTGTGATACAAAAGTCCTGTAAGATTCCGGGCAGAAATTGCCTGCTGCCTGAGCTCCAATGCTATCTGTATGAGCCAAGTTAGGAGGTTTTAAGTTTCCCGTTGTCTTGTTCAGTCTCAGTCTTGGTATCTCTGCCAGCCTGCACCTCCTTCATCATGACTCGTGGAACCATCTCCTTGTCGTCTCCCTGCCTAATGATCAGCAGCCGGCAGGTCAGCAGGATCCCAAAGACAAGCGCATGGGCGTAGCGCTTTAGTGGATCACCCACCAGCTGGTGAAAGAAGAGCACAGCGAGCATGACCAGAAGCAGTACAAAGTTAGCCACGTCCTTGGGCCTCCCAGGTACCAGTATCATCACAATGCCACACAACAACTCCAGCGTGCCAATTAATTTTCGCAGCAGGACTGACGTGATACCCATCTTCTTTAACACTGGCAGGGCCTTGGCATATTCCTTATAAGCTCTTTTCTGAAAATAAAATGGTGGAAAATTGATGGCATTAGTAGCTTTAAAAATCCCAATGTAATTTTGAGGAAGATTTGCTATAATTTTGCAATGCAACAGGAGGTTACTGGGCTCATCACGCTTGTGCTGGCAATCCAATTAATCTCACTCTCTCCCTGCAGTCCTGCCCTTTTTTTTCTGTCTGAAGTACTGAACTGTTTCCTTTTGAAAGTTATTACTGAATGTTACTGTTTTCACTGCCCTTTCCGGCAGCATATTTCCAGATCATAATAATTCAATGTAAATAAAGATGTGCTTCTTTCCCTCTCTGTATCTTTTGACTGAAATCACTGTGAAAACTCAACAGTGAAGCTGCTCATTTAAGACCGACTGGAAATGGTCTCTCTGTGTATACCCTGTACAGTGAGATGAGACACAACCAATGACACTTTGAGGAGGAGCGGTGTGTCAGATTTTTAAAATACTTTCACAGGATGTGGGTGTTGGTGGCAAGACGCTCATTTGATACCCATCCCTAATTGCACTTGGAAATGTGATGGCAAAAGTCCTTATTGACTCATTTGTGGGCATCTTTGTCATTAAAGTCTGGACAATCTAATCAACTGGCCCTGCCATGTCATTCCTTTCCAGTAGCCTACTGCACCAAATCTTCTGAGGTTTCCATCTATCCAAGCCCTGAACTTGCATATTTCTTGAGCTTCTCTCCTGTCCTCCTCATGTCCTCTCTGGACTAATCATGTCAATGAGACCCACATCCTGACCCCTTGATCCTTTTCACATTAGACTACTGACCACATCACTTCCTCTCCTGGATTCTCCTGTTAGCTAAATTTTCTCAGTTCAGATGGTGTTGTCCATCTTGCCTTCAAATCAGTTATTAGTTGCTTAACTAATGATCCTCCTTCCAGAAGTGGGGATGTTCACTGATTGCACAAATTTCAGCACCATTTGTGACTCCTCAGATACTGAAGTAGTCCATGTACAAATTCAGCAAGACCTGGAAAACACCCAGGCTACGGCTAGCAAGAGGCAGGTAACGTGCAAGTCATACAAGTGCCAGGTAATGATCATCTTTAATAAGAGAGAATCTAAGCATTGCTCTTTGACATTCAAGGGCATCACCATTGCACTATCAATGTCTCAGGGGTTACCATTAACCAGAAACTGAACTGGACCAACCAAATAAACAATGTGCAATAAGAGTAGGTCAGAGACTAGGAATTTTGCAGCAAGTAACTCACCTTCTAACTTCCCAAAGCCTGTCCGCTATCTACAACGCACAAGTCAGGACTATGATGGAATAATCTCTACTTGTTTGCATGAATGTAGCTCCAACAACACTCAGGAAGCTTGACACCATTCAGGAATAGCAGTCCATTTGATTGGCACCACAAACATTCACTCTCTCCACAACTGATACTAAGTGTTAGCATTAACACAATGCACTGCAGAAATTCACCATGGCTCACAGACAGCACTTTCCAAACCCATGACCATTACCATTTAGATGGACAAGGATAGGAGATACAGGGGAACACCACCAACTGCAAATTCCCCTCCAAGCCACTCACCAACCTGATCTGGAATTATATCGTCGAACCATCAGCATGGCTGGATTAAAATCATGGAACTCTCTCTCTAACAGCATTATGGATCTACCTACGCCAAATGGACTGCAGCAGTTTAGGAAAGCAGCAAACCATTACCTTCTCAAGGACTTTTAGGGATGGGCAATAAATTCTAAAATTCCTCTCCTTAAAAGAAAACAACCTCTGATCTCATCATCCTCATACCATCACTCTTCCATCTCCCTTTTCAGCTCCAGCCTCCTTGAATATGTTGCTCCCAAATCCATTCCCATCTTATCAGAACTCCAGGTTTGAATACCTCCAATCCAGAATATTGAAAGAGCTTTGATCAAAATTACAAATAGCCCAACTCTATCTCACCATCACCTCTTTCAACTCCTCCACTGTTGCTATATGTCTGTGTCCAAGGTCGACTTTCTCTCCTTGTCCCTTCTTGACCTATCTGCACCCTTGACATGGTAATATCACCCCTCTATAACACCTCTCCACTGTTGTCCAGCTGGGTTGGACTTCTTTCATCTGGGTCGAATCTTATCCAGCAAATTGTAGCCAGAGCATCTTTTAAAATGTCTTATTTTAGCTTTTACTTCTGGTATTTCCCAACAATGTATTCATGATATTCATTTCCCAACAATGTAGTCAATGCATACCTCTCTTTTTGTTATCTACATGGCTACCTATCAGCAACATCATCCAAAGGCACAGCATTATTTTTCACATATGGTAACGATAGCCTCCATTCCACCAACCCCTCTCTTGATTCCTCCTCTTTTGCTAAATTAATCACACTGATCATTCAACATCCAGTAGACTGAAGCCATTGTTTTCTGTCTTTATTCGCTGGCAACTGTTTGAAATTGAACAAGAATGTTTCTGAACTTGCTGTTATTTGGAGCCCAAGGTGAGCTTACTACCACATATCTACATCATTTCTCTAAGACCATACGATTCCACCTTATGATATCACCTGACCCACTCTCCTACCTATTTGTTAAAATCCTCATTCATGGCTTCATTGCCTGTAACATCAACTATTCCAAAGAATTCCCAGCAGGTATCTCACATTCCAGTCTTCATAAATTTGATACAACAAGGTGTAGAGCTGGATGAACACAGCAGGCCAAGCAGCATCAGAGGAGCAGGACAGCTGACGTTTCGGGCCTAGACCCTTCTTCAGAAAATAAATTTGATACCATTCAAAACTCTTGACTACTACCAACTCCATTCTGTTAGGAACCCTGTGTTGATGACCTACATCGGCTCACAGTTAAACAACATCCTGGGTTTAAAATTCCCACCCATATTTTCAAATCCCTCAACAACCTTGTTTCTCTTTATCTCCTTACCTATAGCCATACAACTTTCCAACCTTGCTGGCCTCTTGAACCTGCCTGATTGTCATGCGGTGCCCATGACTCTCAATTGGTGCCCGTGTCTCCAGCTGCCTAGGCCGCAAGGTCTAGAATTCAAAACCTCCCCATGGCTATCACCCTTATACCTTTTAAAGCTCATCATTTGAACAATCTTTTGATGACTTCCCATGATATGTGCTCAGTGTCAAATATTGCTTTAAATGTTCCTGTGAATCACCGTGGGGGGTTTTATTATAATTAAGGGGCTACATAAATATTAGCTTTTGTTATTTATGTGGGCATTTTTTAAAATGTGTTTATTGTTCTGTTCCCTGTCTGAAATGAATAATTCCTTTTGTAAAGTAACGAGACTTCATGTGAACCCCGAGTAGTGTTAGCTCCCTGTTACTCCTGCCTGCTGTCTCTTTTGTTGTGTTCGTACTGAAGTAGTTTCTAGAAACTGGTTGGTACAGGCCCTGTGTCTAATTCAGACGCTGTTGTTCTATGTCTTCAGTGCTTAGTAATACTGCTGCTACAGTGTGTCTGTTAGACACCTGCTTACCATCTCGCTGTAAGCATCTCTGCTCAGTCTTGGCGTCAGTTTGATGGTTCCCATGAAGACAAAGAATAAACCCAAGGCGACAGAGAGAGTCACGATTGTCACTGTCCTGGACGACACCATCATCAGTCGAAGCCGGTCACACACGCAACTGTCCAGAAACCGAGAGAGAGAATTCAGTCAAACGCCCCGTCACTCACTGCTACAGGGTCCTAAAGCCTGCCTGTTAGTAATTATCACAGCAGTTTAAAAAAATCCCCTGAACCCATAAAGTTCCCCGTCCCTACGATAGAGACTGTACAAGTGTCGGCAGGTAGAGACTTCCCCTCCCTTCCAGTCGGTGCTCCCTATCCTCCAGTGAAACGCCCCTCTATAGTCTTGTCTTTCCATCATAGGGATCCCCATATGTCTGATAGAGACATTCCCTGACCCAGTAGATTCTCCATTTCCCCAGCAATAGAAATTCCCGCTCCCTCCTTACATTCTCCTGCCACCTCCGGCAGAAAACCCCCTGCCTCCCACCTCTCCGCCGATATCTGATCTCTGCGATGATGTATCATCAGTTTGCATGATTTAAAGTGACCAGAGTAGCTATTATCATGCAGGATAATTTAGATATAGCCTATCCTTCGGTATATATCACAGACTCATAAAAGGGGCTATGGCCACCATGTTGGGGCCTGAAAAGTGCCCGAACGAGCTCAGATTACCCTGCAAGGTGGGAAGATCCTCAAAAATGTGAACAACAGGTGAGCCAAGCCATCATTTTTAAACTTTGTTCATGGGATGCGAGCTACGTCAGTATTTGTTGCCATCGCTATTTCCCTGGGAATGGATCTGGGACTCCTGGCCAACGGCGTCAAGAGTCTACAAGGTAACAGGAGCAAATACAATATAACTAATAAAATATAACTAATAGAGCAAGACACCAATAGTGAGTACAATATGTTTTATCAATAAATCACATATCAAACCACTTACAGAGAACATGCAAACATCACAATTCTCACACAATATTATCTGTCTCTAGCCAAGTTGGTCAGTCTCAGACTGGTTGGTTCTGTCATCCTGACTCAAGGTTCCTCATTCGAGTGTTGGGCTGTAGGCTCCCGCTCGTGATAGTATCTAAAGTCCGACCTTTGTACCCTTGGCTATGCGGCTTGTCTCCTCTGTCCAAAATGATTTCAACTTCCTCTTGATCGACTAACTGTACCCTGTTAAATTATCATCTTTTTAGACTCATTAACCCATTCAAATATTCTAAACTACACTAATCATGTATAACATAGCTGGTTAGGTGAAACAGATAAGTTTTATATCGCCATCTGAAAAACTAATGCTAAGTTCACTCTCAACAAGACTTTGGTGAGCTGCCTTTTTAAACCGCTGCAGTCCTTATAGTGTAGGAACTCCCATACTGCTGCAAGGGAGTTCCATTATTTTTAGCTAGCGACAGTGAAGGAAGACTAATACAGTTTCAAGTCAGGATGTTGTGTGACTTGGATGGGAACATGCAGGTGGTGATTTTGCCATGCAACTGCTTCACTTATCCTTCTTTATTTTTCTAATTTATACCTAAAGATTTTGTACCTAGGTATCTTTTTATCTAGCTTTATGAGGACTGTAGTGCTGATCTTTCAACTTAAGGTTGTTGTCAAAGGAGCCTAAATGCAGTGCATCTTGTAATAGGTGGTGAAGGGAGGGAATGTTGAATGTGGTGGTTGGGATGCCAATCAAGTGGGCTGCTTTGTCCTGGATGGTGTCAAGCTTCTTGTGTATACTTGAAGCTGCATTCATCCAGGCAAGTGGAAAATATGAAAGTACTCCTGACTTGTGCCATATAGATGGTAGATAGGTTTTGGGGATATAGGAGGTGATCTACCACAGAATTCCTAACCTTTGACTTGCTCTTGTTGCCACAATATTTATGTGGCTGGTCCAGTTCTGTTTCTGATCAATGGAACCCCTGCTGCTACTTTTTTGAAGTTTACTTTTAGTTTACTTTTACTTCTAGTGTTCTCTGCTAAAAGGATTCTACCATCAGGCCATAAAGACATCCTGCCAACCACACAAATAAGTGATGGGGTACTTGAGTTTCAGTGCTAGGATGATGCCAGGTATTAGGCATATGCTTAATGACAGGCAGACTATATCAAATAACATGTTTCTGTGTCTACAGTAGGCAGCATGCCCAATATGGTCTACCAGGCTCTGAGTACAAAACTCAGAATATCAGATCCAGTATTAGAGGTGCTTCTACTTTTGGACTATATTTACTAAATACTTTTGATTGTGCTAAGAATTACATGAAAGCAATTTCAGATTATCAGCTGGGCTCACAGGGCATTCATTTGCATGTTCTCAAAGTTATGCATATTCACACACAGGACCATTTTCTAAGCAGGCAAAAAGAGTTTGTGCATGCTTGCATCTTTCTCATTGAGAAAGGATTGTGGACACTGCTGAATCCGAAACGTCAGCTTTCCTGCTCCTCTGATGCTGCCTGGCCTGCTGTGTTCCTCCAGCCCCTCAAGATCTTATACGTTTAATTAATTATCCCCTTTTATTCTTTTGTACTCAAATGGAAATAGGTTACTCTGTTCAACCTTTCTTCATAAGATAAACCCGTCATTTCCGGAGGTGAACCTTCTCTGAACTATTTCTAAAACTATTATATCTTTTTATTCAAAAAAGGAGAGCAAAATTGTACTCCAGATGTGGTCTTACTAATGCCTTCTGCAGCTGCAATAAAATTTCCCTACTTTAATATTCCATTTCCCTTGCCATAAACAATAACATCCATTTACCTTCCTAATCAAGGATAGCTTTGTGATTCATGTACCAGAATGCTCAGATCCCTCTTTACCACCAATCGCTGCAATCTTTGACCATATAAGTAAGGTTCTTCTTTTATATTTCTCCTACCAAAATAGAAAAGTTTACATTTATCCACGTTATTCTCCATCTGCCAACTTTATTCCCAATCACTTAACGTATTTCCCTTTACAGTCTTTCAATTTTCACTGGAAAACTGACATTCCTACCTATCTTGGTGTCATCAGCAAATTTAGCTATCATACATTCAGACCTCTTATGCAAATCATTAATTATATATAATAGGCAAGGAACCAGTACCAATTCCCATAATACTGCTATAGTTACAGCTTACCACCCTGAAAAAAGACCATCATCCCACTTCTCTCTTCCTGTTAGCTCACAAAGACTTATCCATACTAATATTTTACCCATTACGCTGAATGCTGTCATCATGGGTTGCAATCTTTGATGTGGCACCTTATCAAAAATCTTTTGGAAATCCATGGAGATCGCATCAATCAGTTCCCTTCACTGACCTTGTTAGGCCATTTCAGACAGCAGTTAAGGGTCAACTACTTTGCTGTGGGTCTTGATTCACATGTAGACCAGGTCAGGACAGCAAATTTCTTTCCCTAAAGGACATTAGTGAATGAGATGGGCATTTCTGATAATCCAGTAGTTTCATCATTATCATTATCAATTTACTTAATTATGTGAACTTGTGTCTCCAGATTTCTGATCAGATTAGGTCTCTGGATTGTCCTTTAGATCCCAAACTAAAACGGGTTTGGTGAAATCAAATCTATTTCATGCATCTGTCATCATGATGACTGTGCTGCGGATTCATCATTTACCATAGTGAATGGCAGAGTGGATTTGATTCAACTGTGCATATAACAGACTTCAAGATGAAAGACACATAGCTTCAAAACAATGTTCTCAACCCCCTGTTTCACTTGGGACTTTTCCCTTCCTTGATCACTCAGATCTTTCAACCCTGCTGAATCTCAACCATTCTTACAGACTGACTGTCTCCCATCCCACTTCATTAGCTCCATCTCATTTCTTTGTTCTCCACAACTCGGACTGCTAACATACTCATTTCCAATGATTCCTCAAACTATTTAAACCCACTGACCACTTGCCCCCTTCCACTTGCCTTTCCCTTTACCTGGAATTTTCACTTTTTTTCAATGCATATTTATACTTTGCCATTGAGCCAGTGAATTTGGCTGCAAGAGAAGCTCATGCAACTCCAGAATATATGGAATTTTCCAGAGCCAAGTTCAGACATTGGGATTAACCTTTCAATTTGGGGAAATTTTGAGGGAAACATTGATTTCCAAAGATTTATGCATTTTAGGAATTCAGACATTTTAGTACACTATTGTTAAGGCAATTTAAATTTGCGTGTAAATGCAAGATGTTGTTTAAATTATAACTTCAATGTTCTTGTGTGTCAATAATAAATGTTTAAGAGGCCATGGTTCCTGATGGGATTCATCAGGAAAAGAACCCATAAACAAAATGAGTTAATGTGTGGTAAAAATGAATTTTGGAATCACTTTGTAGCTTTTTGCTTCTGATTGAGATTTTTAAAATAACAAAGGGACTTGATAGGACAGACAAAGAGAAGGGTTCTTCTTCTGGTGGAGAACAGAACTAGAGGACATCAAGATAAAATATTGATAAATCCAATAAGGAATTCAGAATGAATTCTTTACCCACATCATAGTCATGACATAAAACTCCGTAGGACATAGGGAGTAGTTGAGGCACGTTGATTAGAAACACTTGAGGAGAAACTGGGTAGAACATGCGGAAGAAGGAAATAGAACAATATGGTGATAGTGTGACATGATGAGGATGAAAGATGCTTGAGTGGAGCATAAAAACCAGGAAGAATTGTTTGAGGTGAATGGCTGTTTCTGAATGCATATTCTACGCTACCCTATCTCACACCAATTGAGACCAACAGGATCAGGCACAGATTGGAGCACTTCACCTGAAGAACAACTTTCTAAATGGAAATTTTATCCTGAGTGACACAGAAAAGGTGTGAACATTGTTTTCAGAATGACAGAACTGTTACAGTGCAGAAGGAGGCTATTTAGTCCAATGTTACTGCACGGATTTTCAGAATGTGAAATGTACTTAGTTCCACTGTCCTGCCTTTTCTTTGTGTAACCCTGTACACTCTTCTTTTTCAGATAACAACCTAATACCATTTGAATGCTTCCGTTGAACTCAGCTCCAACACAATCTCAGACACAGCATTCTTGAACTTAACCGCTTGTTTTGTGAAACGGTTTGTTCTCTTAACACTTCTGCTTCTTTTGCCAATTCTAAATCTATGACTCCTTGTTCTTAATCCTTTCATGAGTGGGAATAGTTTCTACCTATCAACTCTTTCCAGACCCCCTCATGATTTTGAATAGCTCTAAATATCTCTTTTCAATCTTATGAGTCCAAATTTCTCTGATCTATCTTGATAACTGAGGTTCCTCATCTTTGGAAGCATTGTTATGAACCTTTTCTGTATCTTCCAATGCCTTCACACCCTTGCTAAAATGTTGCACCAAGAACTTGACGTGATACTCCAACTGAGGATAAACTCGTGAACCAGTGTCTTATATAAGTTCAACATGACTTCCTTGTGATTATATTCTATGTCACCACGAATAAAGCCCACAATACTGCATGCTTTATTAACTGATCTCTCAACCTTTGACTTTAGCATAGACTTTGTGCTATCTCCATGTTTTCACACGATTGGGACCACATATTTAATTAAAACATTTTTGTAATGGTGCAACTTGGGAAGTAATGGAGTTTGATTACTAATGCATTCCTCCTGATTTATTTGTAACACTACCAAATGAATCACTTCTTTGCATTGAACTTCATCTCCAATCACTTCTGTTCATTCAACCAATTTGCCCATGTCCTTTTGAAGCTCAATAATGATGTTTCTCAGTGTTATGACACAAATCCAAGTGGATAGTACTTGAACCTGGATCTTTACACACTTTCTGAATTAAACTGGATTTTCCCAAGGAATGAGGTAAAAACAATTATGTTGGCTGTGTTCCACCTGTTTATTACAGAAAGTCAAATGACTTTGGAAAAACAGGCAAGCAAAGCTTTTGGGGAGATAAGACATGGGGTTCATTACCCTTTATTGTTGGAAAACTTGGTTGGAAGAGACTTTGGGATTCTGTGATGGTTACTGAGCAAACCAATTCTAGTCTTGTTTTCTTTTTTTTAGAAAAAGGAATCTGAAGAAGAAAAGGCTCCAAAGCTGTACATGTTCCACTCCTCTCTAATTTGAAACATGATAATTTCTTTCTTAAATTTATTCAGTACACATGCTGCGCTGTTGAACGTGGAAGAATCACCGTGGGCCTGGATGATCGCTCATTCGGAGAGACAGCAGCACAGACTTGAATGGTCGTCATGTGTGTGTTTTTTCTATTCCACCAAACGTTTCGAGAAGGACGGGGGCTGTAAAGTTTATCTTTGTCATAAAGTATGGCATCTTTGCTTTTTGTTCAATATCGTTTTTCAAGTGGAATATTATGTCCTTTTTATTTCGCAATAATTTCCTTTCTACATGTCACCTCGTTATTTGCTTTTCCGTAACCTATTGCCTGGGTCACTGTTCGAAAGCCCGCCACTTGGCGCTTGCCAACCGGACCCGGACCCAGCGACCAGGCCCCGGTCTGTCTCTCGAACAGACGGCGCTCGGACCGGAAACGACACTCGGAGTTAGCGGACAGACCGGAACTAGTAGTTGCAAGGGTGCAATGGAACCTCAAAGTGGAACAGCGAAGGTAAAAAAAAAAGCGAAAAAGGGCCCGGGTTTTTCGAAAGGTTCAGAGAATGTGTATGTGTGTGAGGGAGAATGTCCATAAGGCCTTCACCACCTTCGAGTTTCTCCAAACGCTTGATCAGCCATTGAAATCTGTGAAATGCGGTTGCTGAATATGCGCATAGTATATCCCGTAAAGAATATGGAAATGTTGATAATTTACCTGGAAGATCAGCCTGTGACGTTTGAGGATTAAATATTGGTTAGAAACCGGGAAAGTTGTTCCCACGAGTGTTCAGATTACTGACATCCGGCAGAGAAATAAACCATGTCGAAGAAGTGATATATACGACATTGCTGCTCTTTCTCAGTCATAGAGTCAGACAGTACGGAAACAAACATTTCGAACCAACCAGTCTATGCCGACCATAATCCCAATCTAAACTTGGCCCATATCCCTCCAAAGTCGTGACTCTTCAACGGTGAAAGTAGTCCCTCAGTGTTGATTCTTCAACTATGTAGTGCTCCCCGAGTACTAATAGTCTGACAGTGCAGTGTTCCCTTAGTCTGGACACTACTCCTTAAGTATTGAATTCCTAACAATTGCAGCACTCCCGTAGTACACACCCTCTATCAGTGGTGTGATGTCTCAAGTCTGACTCTCCTATCTTGTGGTGCTCTTTCTGTAAAAGCTTTTCGGACAGTTCTATCCTGACTCTGAGGGTTTTTTGGGCCAAACACAGGCAAATGGGACGAGAGATAGTAGGAACTGCAGATGCTGGAGAATCTGAGATAACAAGGTGTAGAGCTGGATGAACACAGCAGGCCAAGCAGCATCAGAGGAGCAGGAAGGCTGACGTTTCGGGCCTGGACCCTTCTTCGGAAATGGGACTAGTTTAGTTTGGGAAAGCTGGTCGATATGGACAAGTTGGACCGAAGGGCCTGTTTCCATGCTGTATGACTCTGGCTCTATAACATGTATCCTCCAATAATGCGGCACTTTCTCAGTACTGACTTTTTGACTGTGCAGCAGTTACCTCAGCACATATCCTCTGTCAGGGCAGCACTTCCTCAATACTGACTCTCTGACAGAATCGTGTTCTTCCATTACTAATTGTCCAACAGGTTGGGGCTGCCTCTGTTGTTCCGGGCTAGATTTTGTGTTCTTTTCTGCAGTGGGATTTTAACCAGTGCCTTTCTTATTGAGCAGTGAAATTATTCATCGAGTTACAACCAATGTTGAAATGCACATATTCAAGTAATGTTACTAGATTAAAACACTATTCCAAATTTTATCGACTTTTGGAAACTTACTGTAGATCTTGCAATAGAATAAGGCAATTCGGACCTCGTGTCTGTTTGTTTACTTAATGACATCATTGTTGATCTATATCTCACGTTCGTTAATAAATTTTGGTTCCGTCCTTTTTGATACACTTGCCTATATAAAAAACTATCCATCTCAGTTTTGATAGGTTTAATTGACCCCTGATCCCACTAACTTTTAGGATACATTGGAACTAAGAGTTAGATCTAATATTTCCTCAGATGCAAAGAGTGAGCAACAGTGAGATGCAGTTGTTCTATTTCTCATCTATAGCTCCTCCTTGAGAATATAAAACAGAAAGATGTCAGTTTCCATACGTGCAAAAGCACCTGGCACTATTTCATCACTATTTCACTTGATTTCTCTACAGCTTCTGATTTGTCAGGCAGTTAAACTGACATTTGACTTGGATGAGCAGAAAAATATGTGGAAGATTGATAACATTGTCTTCACTTCCTATCACATTCCATTACATAATCACTGGCTCCATCCCGCTTCAGTGTACTATCTGAAGCTGAATGAGTGAATGTAGACAATTTTTTTTTCCTACTGGGGAGTGTAGAAGAAAGGGGCATAACCTGAAAAGTACAACCAGGCCTTCAATAGTAAATTCACCGTGTACTATTTTTAAATCCAGGGAGTTGCTGAAATCTAAAAAATGCTGTGTAGGTGGTGAGGTTCACTGGAGATTTTAAGACTGAGATTGGTAGCTCTGTTTCATTAGGAAGAATATAAAGGAATATCAAGGAGAAAAAACACAGATAAATGAAGTTGATGTACGGATCAGTCCTGGTCTGCTGAATGGTGGAATAGGTTTGAAGAGCTCAATTGTTAAACTGTGTTCCTTTGGTTCATTCCTTCGAATTGCTGGAAGTACAAGTGAGATCTCCGTAAGTGCCAATGACAATGCTGTACCCTGCTGTCTTTAAACTCCCAACACTTTCACAAGGTACAGTCAAAATTCAGAAGGGCAACTTGTTGTATATGTTGTGTTGATGGTTCCTCAGAACTCAGGTGGACAGAAGGAAAGGATTTACTTCAATCCTCTAACATTTCACTAAAGGCAGTCCGTGGTGCAGGAGTAACTGTTTTGTCTATCCTGTAATGTGCTATCTTGTATTACAGCGCGCACTCCCAGAGGATGAGGAAGAAGAAGAGGAATACATTCCATACGTCCCTGTTAAGCAGAGGAAACAACAGTTGGTAAGTGTTCAGTGGTTTTGTGAGACTTGAGTGTGAGCAGAATACTCTCGTGAAGCTTGACTCTCTTTTACTATTATGTGGTTTCTTTCTTATCATTCCAGCTTCGACATTTTTTTGCTGTGCTGAGGAGCTAGCAGTTTCCTCTAACATCTATTGAAATTGGACCTTTTTGATCTGGTATCATTAAACTGATGAAGTTGTAAAATAGCTTTTTCAAACCCTATTCCCACTTTCAGTGCCGTGAAGATGAGATGAGAAAATAGCCACACAGCCACCAAGTTCAAGGTTATGTTGCAAATCCCTGAAAACTTTCAGCTGCGAGCCGGAGAGATCAGAGATCACAGAAAAGTTTAGAATGGTTAGAGCACAGTGGAGGGCCATTCTACCTGTCATGTCCATGCCATGTCTCTAAGAACAATTCAACTGGTCTCACTTCCTTACCCTTTCTCCTTGCCTTTTTTCCCTCTTCAAATAATTATCCAATTCTCTTGTAAAAGCCATGATTGAATCTGCCTCCACCACATTGGTGGGAAGTATATTCCAGAACCTTACCACGTGCTGCTTTAAAAAAATGTTTCCTTCATGTCAGCTTTTATATTTTGTTTCCACGTTGTATCTCTGTCCTCCAGTTTTCTCCCTATTGACTGTGCCTCAACCCCTTGTGAATTTGAACATCTCCATTAAATCTTCTCTCAAAATTTTCGAGTGACAAAAAGCTCAGATTCTTCCTTATATCTACATAATTGAGCTTACTTATCCTTGAAGCTATTCTTGTGAATCTTTACAGCAGCTTCACATTCCTCCTAAAATGTAATATCCAAGATTGGACACCACACTCCCATTGAGGCTGAAATTGTGATTTTAAAATGTTTATAACAACTTCCTTAATTTTGGACACACTGCCTCTGTTTATAAAATCCCAAAATCCCATGTGTGTTCTGAATCATTTTCTCAACATGCAACATTCTCTGCATTTTCTCCACAATAACAGTCAATACTGGAGCCCCCGAAGAGTGCATTCTCAGCCCCCTACTGTACTCCCTCGACTGTGTTGCCAAATTCCAAACGACCGCCATCTACAAGTTTGCTGATGACACCACCGTGGTAGGACGGATCTGAAACAATGATAAGTCAGAACACGGAAAAAAGATAGAGGACTTTGTGATATGGTACAATGATAACAATCTCTGTCTCAATGTTGGCAAAGCTAAAGAACTGATCATTGACTTCAGAAAGAAAGGAGGAGAGCACCTCCTCATCTACATCAATGGAGCGAAGTTGAGAGGATTGAGTGTGTCAAGTTCGTCAGAGTGACGATAACTGACAAATTGTCCTGAACCTCCCACGTGGATGTGATGGTCAAAAAGGCACAACAACACCTCTTCTTCATAAGGTGGCTCAGGACACTTGGCATGTCCATAAGGACCCTAACCAACCTTTACAGATGCACCATAGAAAGCATACTCTCCGGGCGCATAATGGCCTGGTAAGGCAACTGCTCTGACCAGGACTATAAGAAACTGCAGAAGATTGTGTGCACAGCCCAGACCATCACGGAAGCCAGCCTCCTATCCACGGACTCTATTTACATTTTTGTAGTCACGGAAAGGCTACCAACATAACCAAAGACCCATCCACCCCGATAATGATCTCCTACAACCTCTTACGTCGGGCAGAAGTACAGAAGCTTGTACACACACACCAACAGGTTCAAGAATAGTTTCTTCCCTGCTGTTATTAGACTGATGAATGGACTGTCTAACTTCAAATAATGCTGATCTTGTTAATGTTGATCTTGCCTCACGCGCATCCTGTGCAGTGTAACCTGTATGCCTTACTCTGTCCAAGTATTTTTCACTCTATGATCTGTATGTGCTTGGTTACTTTGATCTGCTTGTACTGCTCGCAAACAAAGCTTTTCATTGTACTTATGTACACATGACAATAAGTTGAATCAAATCATTCCCTGCAACCTTAACAATTTATCCATGTATACAGTCAACCTTCCCTGATACTACATGCCTTTGAGAATTCTACCCTTCAGTTATATTGCCTATCTTTATTCCTTTATCCAAACATATGACTAAATTAAATTTCATCTACCACTTGTTTGTTCATCCCAAAGCCTGTCTCTGTCCTTTTGGACACTATCACTGCGCTCCTCGCAGCTATGCAGTACTTCCAAGTCTTTTGTGATCAGCAAAATTTGAAATTCTTCTTGGCACGCCCAGTCTAGGTCATAAATATATAACAAGAAAAGGAATGCCCCAACTACTGAACCCTGGGAAATACCATTCCTCCAAACTGAAGAACGATTTTCTATCTGTGTTGACAATATCCATTTAATTCATGGACTTCAATCTTGCTGACAAAACTCTCATATCTCTCATTGCTAACAGTAGCTTGGTGGTAATTTCATTGGATTAATAATTTTGAGTAATGCTGTGGGAATATGTTAAAGTCGTGGTGGTATGATTTAAACTGATTAATGAGGGAATTGGGAATAAAATAGAAGGTTCAATAATGATCATAAAATTGATAGATTGTCATAATAGCCACCTAGTCCACTATTGCTCTTCAAATAGTGGAAGAAATCAGCGTCCTTACTCAGTCAAACCTTATGTATGCAGTCGGTGGTAATTTGGTTGACTTTGAAATGTCCTTAGCAATTCAGTTATTAACTGTTCAACTGTTAAGAAAGAAATTGAAAGAGAATAAAACTGAAATATTTGCCGGTTGTTGATCTTGGCACCAGAAACAACAATGGCAAACATTTCTAGTCGACCCTATATTGTCCTCCAGATTAATCCATGGACTTGGGTATTGCGAGGATTGTTGCGCAAACTGATCAAGAAACAGCTTGACATTGTCATATTCATCGAATATTATCGTGTAAACTCGGTCCACCATTACCATCCCCGAGTATGTGATATCCCAATGACAGGGCAGTCCTAGCAGAGGGGACAGTATAGAGATACGGAGTCAAGAGGGAGTTGTCTTGGGAGTCCTCAACATTGGTTCTGGAGCCCATGAAGTCTCATGGCATCAGGTCAAACATGCACAAGGAAACCTCCTGCCGATTACCAGCTACCACTTTGCTCAGCTAAGGAATTAGTACTCGTCTATGTTGACCATCAACAGGAAGAAATATTGAGGGTGACAAGGTGCTGAATGTAGTATGTGTGGTGATCAAGTGAGAATAACACCAGATTTCAATATGATGTTCTCCATTGTTGAATATTACATAAACTCTCACTTGGATACTTGGGTGTTACACTAATATCTGTGGTTCTGAGCTCCAGCGAGTCAGCAGGTTTTGTCAGGAAAACCACACCTCCTTGTCAAACCGTGTGCACATTGCCTGGAATGAAACTTGGATTACTGTGTATAATGCCTGCCCTTGGAGATGGTACAAAAAAAAATTACTGGATGGATTCCTGGGGTGAAAGGTTGAGTAAATTGTCCTACATTCTCTGCTGTTGAGAGGAATTTTAGTGATCTTGTTCAAACAAAGAATATTTTGAAGGGTTGAGAGGTTGTTTTTACTGGCTGGGAAATCTAAAACGTGAGAGTTCCAAAGAAGATTGACATTTGAATCTAAATGTTAACTGCTTATCTGTATGCAGTTGTTGCCAACCTTCTGAGTTTCTCCAGCACTTCCTGTTTTTATTTCCGATCTCCAACGTCCAAAGTACTTTGCTTTTACTCTAGGACCTTGGGACACAATAAGGCGATGACAAGAATTTTCTTTACTTGAAGGGTTGTAAATCTTTGTAATTCTCTACCTCAGAGAGTTGTGGATACTTACTTGTTCACTGTATTCAAAGGGCCATATGATCCACTTCTCCTATTTCTTACATTGTTCTGTTCTTGGGTTTGTTTGCGTGTGTATAGTGCAAGGACAGAAACTTAAGTTTCTTGTTGAGCCAGTGCTGTGATTGTTACTATAAGTTAATCAATTGATTTTGTTTTGGACTGGATTTTAAAGGCTGCAGTGCTCAGATCGGCTTAGAAATGTATAGATCTGAAATGAGTGATAGGGAAAACCGTTTGGTAAAATAGTCCTTGTAAGAGGAATATCATGTGATGGTTTGACCCTGTCCCTTACTGCTGGTTGGAAACTGACAGTTTTGTATGTGCAACCAGATGGAGAAGCTGGTGCGGATACGGAGGAAAGTTGCCCTCGATGATGATCAGGACAGTGACAGCGACCTCAGAGAGGATGATGGCGATGGCCCTCTGGGACCACGGTCCAATATCAGCCTGCTAGACCAGCACCAGCAGTTGAAAGAGAAGGCAGAAGGTAAAGCATTTCTAGCCCACTGATCATGTCAAGTAGACTTTGGGAAATGTGTATTCTGTGGGAGGAAGGGGCTAGCCTCGGTATCAGTAGTTAACTTGACATTCACTGTTTCATACAGTGTAAGATTTGGGCAGTCTTACACTCACTGTGTGATATGGGCCAGACAGTTCGACAGTCACCTTGGGAAGTGGGGCAATCCTTCATCGAGGTGGGAAACGAGGCAGTCGGACTCCCCCGGCGGGACCTGGGGCAGTCGGACACTGTGTTAGATGTGGGAGAGTGAACGCTGACTGCCGGATATGGGTGTACCGATGCTGACTGCAGGATGTAGATTTATAGATTCATACAATGCAGAGTCTGCACCAACATAACTATCACTAAAAGTGCACTCATCCCACTTTCCTGCAGTGGCCCCATATCTTTGAATGTTATCATAGAATTCTTCCAGTGTGAAAGCGGGCCATTTGGCCCATCAAGGCCACACTGACCCTCCCAGACCCACCTCATCCCCGTAACCCTGCATCACCCGTGGCTAACCCACCTGTACCTCCCTGGACACAATGGGCAATTTAGCATGACCAATCCACCAAAACTCCTTATCTTTGGACTGTGGGAGGAAGCCAGAGCACCCAGAGGAAATGCAAGCAGACATGCGGAGAATGTGCAAACTGCACACAAACAGTTGCCTGAGGGTGGAATCAAACTTGGGTCCCTGGTGCTGTGAGGCAGCAGTGCTAACCACTGACATACTGTGTCATCCCTTTGTTTTTGGGCAGCAAGGAAATATTTAAAGTGCTCATCCAAATATTTTTTAGATGTTGTAAAGTTTCTGGCCTCCACTACCATCCCAGGCAGTGCATTCCAGATTCCCAACAGCCTCTGAGTAAAGAGATAACAAGGTGTAGAGCTGGATGAACACAGCAGGCCAAGCAGCATCAGCGGAGCAGGAAGGCTGACGTTTTGGGCCTAGACCCTTCTTCAGAAATGGGGGAGGGGAAGGGGACTCTGAAATAAATGGGGGTGGGGGGTGGGACTCTGACTTTAAGTGAAAACATTCAGAAGGTTCCAACTGACTTAAATGCTTAAAATCAGCCAGGCAATTTTAGGGGATTGAAAACCTAACTCCTGTGTACATATTAAACTGAATCCCTGACCACACCCCACAATTCCTTCCTTTCCCATTCCCCACTAACCTCCCACCATTGTCACCACCAGAATCACAGTGGAGGTCAGTTGGCCCATCGTACCTTCACCGGTTGTCCTGCCTTTTCTCCATATCCCTCACACCATTTCTATCCAAATAGATATCCAATGCTCTCCTGAATGCCTCAATTGAACCTGCCTCCACTACATTTCAAGACAGTGCATTCCACATCATGACCATTTACATTGGGTTTCATCATAACCAGGAAATAAAATTTATGTTGCAATAAAATTAACAAATGGGAGAGAAGAAAGGTTTCATAATCTACTGCTATGCAACTGAAACTATACTCCTTTAAAGCCAAATATACACAATCAAGATAAACAAAGGACAATTTGACACAATGGAGCAAAGTATAAACAAGGAACAAAATTTTCAACATAGTTATTTTTCACTTCAAAAGTTGATCTGTTGAACCCGGGTCTTGGAATTGTTACAGTTCTCCAGCTTGGCTTTTTGGTCTTTTCACCCACACAAAATAATTGGGGGTAGATGTCCCTAAATGCCCTGCACTGGAGACCTGTAGTAAACTGCAGCTCAAGCAATCCAAGTGCTGTTATTAGCCAGTCTTCCCTTAACTCAAAGGCTCTGGGTATCAGTCCCCCTCAGACATTCACTGCTTTGGAAAGCAGCATTGTCTTACCCAGCCAAAAAAATGTGCTACACTTCAATTTTTCAAAGTTGCAAAACTCTACTGGTATTTCAATGATGTGGCAGTCCAACTTGCAAGTCAGTTTGCAGTCCAATAGAAAGGAAAAACATGCAAGTTGTGAGGAACCCCACTGTCAACTCAAAAGATCAATGTAGAAAACATTTATGAAAAACCACACAGGGTCAAGATCAGCAAGTGACACTGGAAACTACAGACGACACACAAACATACTACGTCTATCCCCGCTATAATTCCCATAGCGCTCTGATCAGGCAGGCTTCATATAAACCATTACAAAAACAAAGTTGCTGGAAAAGCTCAGCAGGTCTGGCAGCATCTGTGGAGAAGTTCTGAGGAAGGGTCACCAGACCCAAAACGTTAACTCTGTTTTCTCCTCCACGGATGCTGCCAGACCTGCTGAGCTTTTCCAGCAACTTTGTTTTTATTCCTGATTTACATCATCCTCAGTTCTTTTGGTTTTTCTGAAGAAGGGTGTAGGCCCGAAACGTCAGTCTTCCTGCTCCTCTGATGCTGCTTGGCCTGCTGTGTTCATCCAGCTCTACACCTTGTTATCTCAGATTCTCCAGCATGTGCAGTTCCTGCTATCTCTGAAGCCTCTGAGTAAACATCCTTTTTCCCCCCAAATCACCTCTGAATCTCCTGCCCCTGAGCCTAATGTTATGCCTTCTCGTGGTTCACCCTACAATCAAGGGAAATAGCTGACGTCTATTCACCCTGTACATACCCCTCATAATCTTGTATACCTCAATCATGTCCCAATGACATGGGGTAGCCTGACACTGATTGCGGGATGTGGGGCATCCCAACGCTCAGTTTTTCAGTTCAGCACTGCACAGTTCAACAGGGACTGTGGAATAAGGGATAGTTCAAGACACTATGGGATTTGGGGCAGTCTGACACTGACAGTGGGATATATGGCAGCTTGTCAATGACTGCAGATTACGGGGTGTGGGATATGTGGCAGTCTGAAATGGACTGCGGGATATGCGACAACCCAGCAAGAACTGTGGGTTATTTGGCTGTCTGTCACTGAATGTGGCGGGGTGGGTGTAGTTCTGGAACAAGTCAATGAGCGTAGCATTAAATTCACATTTTTTTTCATGATACCTGGTTTTGAGTCTGCATTTGATGGTGCTTGCTCACATTTATGTGTTTTGCAGCACGTAAGGAGTCTGCTAAAGAGAAACGATTAAAAGAAGAGGAAAAAATTCTGGAGAGTGTTGCTGAAGGCAGAGGTTAGTTTAACTGTCGTAACGTTTGGACAACGAATGTCTCATCAAATGAACACAATCAATCGTCAATGCTAGTGTTTATGTTCTACACCTTGTTCTTTCCACTCTAAGTACCCACATCTCTCTATTCTCACCCTGCCCTCCATCCTACTCTGTTTCAAAGAAAGTGGAAACCTGAAGAGTTTTAGTGTGCCCCGGAGTTCTCCTGACAGACTCATGATGCTCAGGAATTCCAATTTGTTAAATCTCTTTTCAAACGTAATGAGGACACTGCATGTGACTGATTGGAGAAGTTGCTGCTGTGCCCGACCATGCAAGTCCATGCTTCCACAATCAGTGCGTAGTGAAATGCCAATTTGGTTGAGATGAGTCAGCAGATGGCGACTGCAAATGTCTATGGAGGAGGAACACGTTTGCTAATATCCGAGAATACTGTTGAAATTTTTTGGCTGATGTATAACGTGGAGGTCGTTCAGAGTACGTGGCAAGCTGAATCTGCAAGGTACATGCTCTGGTTTCCTGTCAAGTTTTCTCGATGTTTAACTTGTTTGACAAGATTGGAGCCTGAATATTAATGAGGTGTGTTTTGGTGATAACGAGGCATCTGACGGTCAATAATGACCATCAATTGGTATCTCATGCTGCCTAGCAAGAAACTTCCCGCAGCACTTTTGAACAGCATAAAAGATGAAGTGAGATCGTCTTGACATTGTGTAACCTGATTCTGCCACACATCTTGCCAAATTGCTCAAACCCCCATACATCAGGGGACATCTCTCTGGTGGTCGGAGTCATACCTGACATAAGGAAGATGGTCGTGCTTGTTGGAGGTCAATCATCCCAGCTCCAGGACATCTCTGCAGCAGTTCCTTAGGGTAGTGTCCGAGGCCCAACCATCTTCAGCTGCTTCATCAATGACCTCCCCTCTTTCATAAGGTCAGAAGTGGAGATGTTTGTTGATTGTGCAATCAATCAATGTTCAGCACCATTCGTTACTCCTCAGATACTGAAGCAGTCCATGTTCAAATGCAACAAGATCTGGACAATATCCAGGCTTGGGCTGACAAGTGGCAAGTGACATTCGCGCCACACAAATGTCAGGCTATGACTATCACCAATAAGAGACAATCTAACCATCGTCCTTTGACATTCAATGGTGTTACCATAACTGAATTCCCCACATTCAACATCCTGGGGGTTACCATTGACCATGAAACTCAATTGGACTCACTATAAACTCAGTGGCTACACGAGCAGGCCAGAAGCTAGGAATACTGCGGCAAGTAATTCACCTCCTGACTCGTCAAAGCCTGTCCACCATCTACAAGGCACAAGTCAGGACTGTGATGGAATACTCAATCACTTGCCTGGATGTGCAGCCCCAACAACACACAAGCTTGATACTATTCCAGGACAATGCAGTACATCCACAGGCATCCACTCCCTCCACCACCGATGCTCAATACCAGCAGTGTGTACTATCTACAAAATGCACTGCAGAAATTCACCAAAGGTGGTCAGACAGCACCTTCCAAACGGCGACCACTTCCATCTAGAAGGACAAGGGCAGCAGATATATGGGAACACCGCTATTTCCAAGTTCACCTCCAAGTCACTCACCATCCTGACTTGGAAATATATCGCCGTTCCTTCACTGTCACTGGGTCAAAATCCTGGAATTCCCTCCCTAATGGCATAGTGGGTCAACTACTGCAGGGGTTCAAGAAGGCAGCTCATCACCTTCTCAAGGGCAACTAGGGATGGGCAAGAAATGCTGCCAGCCAGCGATGCCCACATCCCACAGATGAATAGGAAAAGAAGATTCCACCCAACATTCTTTCAGTTTAGCGGTTTGTTATGACAATAACCTGAAGTTTTCATTCTCCAGTCAATCGCATAACAGTTTGTCTTCATTGCATTTGAGAAGAGCTTTTCCTGAACCTTTCCAATCTTTCCGCTAGCAATGAAGCCAGCATTGAAGAGAGCAAAATGCCTCTCCCTCACCAATACAACGTACATTATTAATGTTACATCCTTGGACCAATAGATCATACTTTTCATTCGATGTCTTAACATTTTATTTGCTTTTGTCACTGCCTGACATAATTAACTTGCAATTTTATCTACCCAAAAGCTTGATCTCATTGATACTTTATTCTCTCAAGTATACTGCTTTTTAATAAGTAATCTATAATTTGTTTCTTCTACTAAACTCCAATATCTGCATTTACAATAAGTTGCATTTTGCATCTCTCATTCCTTTGATTGAACTTGCCCATATTCTTTGGGATGATTGCATGTTGAATAGCATCAACTAATTTGGCAACATTTGCAATCTTGCATACATAGGACAATACACCTGCTTCTGGAGACATTTCAAAAAGTTGTAATTTACAGCTGGTGGTGGCCCCAAAACTGACAAAGTCTCCACTCTGACACGTTTTTACATGTACATTTACTCTTTGCTGTTCACCTACATAATAATCCATCTGTTCTATAGGTATGCACCTTGTCAGTTAGTCTGTTAAATGGAGTAGAACCTTCTTTTTGCTCTCCTTATTCTGAAATGTCATTTCATCAAGATTATTTTTTTCTGTGTGTAGAGTGTACAGCACATTGGGCCATTTAGCCTGTCATCCTGTGCTGGATCTTTTAAACAACCACTGAATTCTTACCTCGTTCTTTACCCTTAGCCCTACAAATTTCTCAAAGATATGTCCAATTCATTGCCAAAGTATTTGTGAATCTGCGTTCATCATATTTTTCCAGATCATAACTCACTGTAAATAGATGTATCTTTATCATATCTATGGTTCTTTTGCTGATTTCCTTCAATCTAGGTCCTTTATTACTGATCCTCTTGCCACGGAGAACATTTCTCTTTAGTCACTTGATTAAAACTCCCGCAATTTTGGACATTGCTGAGAAATACCCCATCACCTTCCCTGCAAGGAAGAACAGTCTCTTTTTTTTTTCCCACTTGACATTGTGGGGAGATTTATCTGTTTGATGCACAGTTGCTGTGAGTGTAAAACTGTATGTTCATGATAGGTTATTCCTAGGCTTCAGCTTCTGGAGAACTCGCTTGACCATCAATGCCTTAAAAATTGTCTAGATATAATCCTACCACAGCAAATAATGGAGTCACACTGCTGAAAGGGAGACGTTGGTAAGCTGTAGTGAAACAATGCTTTCATTTCTTTTGTAGCTTTGATGTCTGTGAAGGAAATGGCGAAGGGCATAACCTATGATGACCCAATCAAAACCAGGTCGGCATCTATGCTTCTTGATTGAATTCAACTGTTATTTCCTGCATAGTTAACAATCTGTGAAACTGGTAAAAATCAACTTCTGTGCAAAATATTATTGAAATGATCAATCTAATGTTTGACGTAAATTAAATCTGAGATTACACAACATGAGGAAAATGAGCCAGGAAGCAAATAGAAGCTCATTCTGTTACGGAGTGTTAGAAGATGAAGATGAGCAAAAAATCATTAAAGAAAAAGTAAGCTTGACAAACTTATGGGTTGGAGTTGATGTCTGTGTGAATTTTGAGGACGTGGTGCTAATATATCGGATAAGATACTTGTTACAAACTGCCTCTGCATTCTTCCCCCAGTTGTTTCCTCAGTGTGCTGTCACATGTAGATTGAGAGCTGAAATGACGAGGTGACACTTTGCATATTAGAGCAAGTTGAGCAGTTAAACTAACAGGGCAGGCCTAAAACAAAAACAGAAGTTGCTGGAAAAGCTCAGCAGGTCTGACAGTATCTGTGAAGAAAAAAACAGTTAATGTTGCGTGTCCAGTGACCCTTCCTCAGAACAGGCCTTCTTAGTTGAACAGACACTTAGGGTGACAGTCCTAGAAGCTTCTGTCCACAAAGTTATCTGAACTGGTGAAAGGATAGCAACAAACTGTTCTTCAGGAATGCTGGTTAAACTGAAATTATTGGCATAGGGATATTACAGTCAAACCTGAATTGTTGTGTTTCTTTTGATACTGTTCTCAGCAGAGTGCATTCATTTCCTCCTTTACACACCTTCATTTAGGTAATTTTGATGTCTCTAATTCTCCTTTCCCACCATTAGGACTGCATTTGTCAGTTGCTGTGGGTGCCCTCATTATATCTTTCACTTCTCCCCCTCTGTCATCTGCATAAAAAACACTATTTTCCAGTCCCTTTCAGTTGTGAATAAGAGTCATATTGAACTCGAAACAGTGACGCTGTCTCTCTCTCTCTCATATCAGATGCCAGAACTGCTGAGGTTCTCCAGCATTTTTTGGTTTTATTTCAGATTTCCAACATCTGCAGTACTTTCCTTTTTGAGTGGAATTAATCCTGTTGTCTCCAGGATGTGTAGTGAGTTGGAGCCTCTCAGTAATTCACTACCCTTTCATTGCAAACTTTAGAGTGTTAATTCATCTCAAATGAAAGAGGTGCGGCTCTCCTTTTTTAGCCACCTATATGCAGACCAGTTTTGTCATCTGCAGCTCTGCATTCTACTTGATTCTCCGCTATATTACAAACTTTAGATTTTGTATAAGCCTACGTTGTCTGCAGTAGCTTGATCTTGGGACAGACTTTAAATATCTGTCCTGCACTGTGTCTCGTCTCCACCCTCAGGCCCCTACATCACTGCCTTGCATCCTACCCTTGCCTTCCCCCTCTTCAAAGCCCCCTTGCTTCCCTCGAATCATCTACCCTCCCCTCACATCCCACCTCATGCTTGCCTCCTTGTCCCTTCCCTTTCTTCGCCCCCTCTTGCTTTCCTCCTTCTTGGTTTTGTGAAAGACAAAACATATTCAACTAATCTTTTAGAGCTCGTTGAGGGAGCAACCTGTAGATGTGGTGTTTTTGGGTTTCCAAAAAGCATTTGACATGATGCTACATCAAGGGTTACTACTGAACATAATGGCTCATGTTATGGGAGGTCATATTTTTATTTGTCCATAGGATAAATGTTGCTGGCTATGCCAGCATTAATTACCTATCCCAAACTGCCCTGGGTAAAGATGGTGGTGAGTTGCATTCTTGACCTGCTGCAATCTTCAGATGAATGTATACACGGAGGGATGGTAAGAAGGAAGTTCCAGGATTCTGACCTAGCAACAGTGGAGAAATGGCAATATAGTTACAAGTCAGGATGCTGTCGCTTGGAGTGGTACTTTGATCTGGTGAAGTTCTCATCCATTTGCTTACCTGTCCTTCTAGATTGTAGAAGTTATGGTTTTGAATTTGCTTCTTGAGTTAGGCAGCGCATCTTGTAGATGGCACCCACTGCTGCTACTGTGCGTTGGTAGTGATGGATGTGAATATTGAATGCGGTGGATGAGATGCCAAGCAAATGAGGGACAATGTCAAGAATTACAGCAGGAACACCCAATTCCATTCATAAAGCAACAAAAGCATTTGATTCATGAAATCAGTTTGAAGAAGAGTCAATTTGGAGTGCTTACCAGCATTTTGTATTAATCAGATTTCCAGCATCTGCAGTATTTTGCTTTTCTTTTAACTCAGCAAGTCATGAGGCTGTATAAATTTGAATGCCCAAGAAATTTCATCACAATCCTACATTTCCTTCTTGATGGTATCACTGCAATTTCTTTGAGTGTAAAATTTGAAACAGATACCTTTAAAATCCAGATGGAATCTATGTGATTACATCCATATTGTTAACAGTTTAATGGAAAATGGTGAAGGGAGTGGGTATATTGAAAGCGATGGATGGGGTACTTTGTCCTGAATAGTGTTTTTTTTTAGTGTCCTTGGAGCTGCAGCCATCTGGGCAAATGAGAGTATTAGAATGGATAAAGGATGGTTTAGCTGGAATAAATTGAACACTTTTTGCTAGCAGAAACTAGTGGAGTACTGTTCCTCAATATTTACAATTTGTATCAATGACTTAGATGAAGGGACTGAGTGTATTGTTGTTAACTTTGCTGACGATGCCAAGGTGAGTAGGAAAGTCGGTTGCCAAGAGGAGGTAAACGGTCTGCAAAGGGATAGAGATAAGTGATTTGGAAAAACTGGCAGATGAAATATTGGCAGGGAAATTGTGAACTTGTCTGTTTTGGCAGGAAGAATGAAAAAGCAGAATACTATTTAAGTGGAGAGCATACATTAATCAGCAAAAGCTAGCATGCAGGTGCAGTAAGCAGTTAGCTAGGCAAATTAATTGTTGGCCTTTATTGTAAGCTGAGTGGAATGTAAAACTCGGCATGTTTTATTGTATCTGTACAGGACCTTGGTAAGACTGCTTCTGGAGTTCAGTTTTGGACTTCTTATTTGAAAAAGGACAGAATATAACATTATTGCTTAAGAAGCAGTTCAGAAAAGGTTCACTTGACTCATTCCTGCAATGAAGAATTACCTATGAAGAAAGTTTGAACAGGTTGGATCATTACCCATTGAAATTTAGACAAATGAGAGGTGACGTTATTGAAACATATAACATCTTGGGAGTACTTGATAGGGTGGATACCAGGAAGCTGTAGGGGAGACTAGAATTAGGGGATACAGTTTTAGAATAAGCTATCACCCTTTTAAGAAGGAGCTGAGGAGTTTTATTTTCTCTGAGGGTCATCAAACAATGTGATGCACTTCCCCAGAAAATAGTGGAGGCCTGGTCACTGCATTTATTCTAGGCTGAGTTAGCTAGATTTTTTTAATAGACAAGGTAGTCAAGGATTGTGGGAGTATACAGGAAGCTGAAAATAAGTCCATTAATCAAATCAGCCTTGATCTTACTGAATGGTGGAGAAAAGCTGCACATGCTTTGACAAAATCGTCTGTTTACCCTCCCTCCATTCTCCTCTCCTGTGCTTCTTCTGGCCCTTTTACCTCTCCCCTTCTTTCCTTCCACCTTCTTCCTTCCAATTCCTCCCCATCGTTCTCACCATATCATGGACTGTGATGAATGGAAGTAGCCGCTGCAGTCACCTGCTTCGGATATGAGATGAGAATGCTGAGCTGTTGCCTGACCTCTTGCTTGGACAACAGGAAATTAAACCTGAAAATCTGCTTTGCAAGCATTTACACCAACTTTTATTTCGAAGAATAAGCATTACACTAAGCCTACAATGAGTTTTCAAATTTTTAAAAATGTTTTTAACTAACCAGAAGGTTTGCTGCTGTCTGCAAAACAAATCATTTGCTTCCTTTTGACATAGTTTTGAGAAATGAGGTTTGACTTCCAGCCAGTAAGACCTTACCCAAAGTACTGTATCACTGTATCTCTACTGATGTGAATCCAGCACCGTCACACAGTCACTCAGCAATCTGTCATCGCCTCCCCCACCCCAGCTCACTGCATCTCTAGAGGTTATTGCATCTCCTCATTCTGTCATTCAGTAACCCCTTTCCCCTCAGAGCCCTGTGTTATTCCCGTTGTGTTAGCACATTTCTCCTGATGTTAATTCAATTCCCTTTTGCTCTCACTCAGTAATCCATTACACTGTCACTTAGTAGCCCCTCTTCCCCAATGTGCTGTGCTGCTAACTATTTCTACTGATGTTAAGACAGGTCCTGCAAACAGTCATTACCGCTGCTAAGGGTGTATCAGTTTAGATCACTGCAAAGAAAGGTGAGGAAAGATTTCTTTCCATGGATGATTTTGTTTGTATGAAGTTAATAAAAAGGAGACCATTGATCTCCATGACTTTATTCTTGATGATTGCACTGACATGGTGTTTTTAATGGGAATGCATCTTTGAATTCTGCGATAATACTATGGCTTTAAGATGGGTATTTTGACCTAGTTTTTTTAATGAAGAAAAATTGAGACAAGTGCTGAGCAGTCTGCTCCAAAGCCATTAAAATAAACAGCTTGTGAGGCCTTTTTTTTTAAAAGTTGGAATAATAGAAACAGTGTGAATGGGTGGGGTCAAGCTCCCACAGAACCAGGATTTTTAGTTTTAGCTTTCAGTTGCAGTTGTTGCTGGGGCCTTGAAATTGGATGTGGAAGCTGTTCTTCCTCTCTCTCTCTCACAGCTAAAAGCTGGGGGTTCTCTTCCTGCTGCTGGAATTGCAAGTGAGACAATCTGTTTTCCTGAATTTGCCTTTGTCAAGGATGTGTTTTTAGAATAGTTCCTGTTAAGTAGTTAAATAATCTATTATTCTGTTAAGTTTTCCAATCGAGTTAGGGTATTCTAATTTCTTCTTTCTTTGTTGTCATTTTACTATAGCGTATGAATAAAGTGTGTTTTGCTTCAAGGCTGACAGTTTTATCAATCAGATTGCATCTGGAACAGAACGCCTGGCACTTGCCTTTAAAATAAGAAAATGTTAGGGCCTAGGCTACTTCTTAATATTTTGAGGGGGGGGTTTGGTCTCGTCCGTAACAATTGGCAACACCAAAATTCCTTCCTTGATTGAGCATCTGCTTAGTGAAGTGCCTTAAGATGTTTTTCTTTGTTATTATTGCAGCTTTAAGGGGAATATCTGAGCCACACTAAAAGGGAAGATATTAAGCCATGGGAGAGATTGGAGCATTTGTTTTATATTACTCCAACATAAAGCCACATTAATAATAGTTACCTGTTATGTTGTAAACATTTTGGTTTCATGGTTCTTTGTAATACCAATTTATCCACAGAGTCTTAAGTATTTGTAAAAGATTCCTGCCAAACTGCCTGAATTGCACGGTTGTCATGTTTTTTACACAGAGTGGTAGGAGTCTGGAACGTGCTGCCAGGGGTAGTAGTGGAAGCAGATACAGTGGGGGCATTTAAGGGACTTTTAGAAAAGCACATGGATATGCAAGGATATGCATCAAGACAGAAGGGATTACTTTAATTTGGCGTGATGTTCAGCACAACATTGTGGGCCGAAGGTTGCTGTTCTTTGTTCTAAGTTTAAACGCACAGAATTGCATTTGATTTAGGCTGATTCAATTGCCCCATTGAAGCTTTGTCACCATTAATGTTGGTATTTCTTTGCAGCTGGAACCCACCACGGTATATACGCAACATGCCCGAAGCTCGCAATGACCGTGTGCGGAAGAAATACCACATTCTGGTGGAGGGGGAGGGCTTGCCATGTCCTGTGAAACATTTCAAGGAAATGAAGTTTCCAGCAGGTAAGAGTAATTGAAACATGGAGGTGTGGACACAGGGATTGATCCTGGCAGGAAGATGAAGATGGTTGGAGCTTGGGGTAGAGAACAGGGGCCAAATCTTGCTTTAGGAGAAGAGGAGACATTGAGGGAAAAGAGCTCAATTCCTGGTGGAGCAGTGAACATGAGCTAAGGCAAGGTCTGGGGACTGAGATTTTTACCAACTCAGGATGTCCTATAACCACCTGGTCAATAAAACTTTTTTTATAATGTGGGTCACTATTGTAAGGCTGGAAATGTACATAATAACATGAAATGTGTACAAATAATAATAATGCTTCAGTCATAAGGTTTAAAAAGTTATGTTTTGGGCAAAACGTAGGGGTTATGTAATCAGTTCTACAGTCTGCCTACTGCAAGTTTGGATGTTTTGATTAGAACAAAGAATGAAGATTGTTGGAGATTAAATAGGGCCCAAATTGTTTTACTAGGAAGAAGGTGTTTCTGTTTGAGATAGTGGCAGCGGTCTTCGTATTAACAGTCTCTAATGTTCCGGAAAAGTATTGAGAATGTTGTATTGCAAACAATTGTGCTTTAAGCTGTCTATTTAGTTCCGTGATCTAAGGGAGTTTGGGTCTCAAGGATAACTAATCAGCATTTCTGTCGAGCTACCAGGGTCATGTGACTCATGTTACCTTAGTGATGGGCTTTAAGTTGGAAAGGATACAGAGGAAGCTACTGAGATATTAGATTACAGCCTTTCTTAGAGAGCGAGCAGTTAGAAGCTGAAAGCCTATCTGGCTCACTGTGCTGAAAAGTGGGTGGAAGATCGCATTTGGATTCCACTCCCTTCAGTCATTTCTGTGTATTCTGACTGTTACTTCCAAAGTTGAAAGCCCAGAAATGAAATTGACCAGGCTCTGTCATCGCATTCAGACTGACTCAGCAGTGGTCATTAACTTGCTGATTATACACCATTCTTAGGTAAGCTGAGCATGACCCAATTTAAAGTGACTACAGACTCCTGGAAAGAATACTTTGACACCTAAGAAGTATTTAGCCAATCTAAGTCCAGAATCTGTTCCACTTTGGTTTGCACTGCATGGAGAGATAGGGGATCCAAAATGGAAAAATCAAGTTGATACAGTGAATTAATCATTCAGGATGCACACAATCTTGAGTATTAACCATTGATATTAAAAGCCCCAATACTGGATCATATTCAGGGTGGAAGCTAGCTTAAAACACCAGTCTCTTCCCAATGACATCAATTCCACCCAAATGCAAACTGCAGGAATTGAAACCCACTAAATGTTAAAGATTGCAACCTGGAATCTGCCATCTTGCTATACTGTTCCATATTGTCTTTAAATAGCTGTCTGATTTGGGAATAGTTTGTTCGATTCTCATTTTTGCCAGCCACTCCACAGAGTAGATGAAGTTGTGTTGTAGTTAGAAATCTGTGATGTTGGGAGGCAGTGCGCAAGTGAGCATCTGTGGTTAGACTTCTGCCTTGCAATGTTTTAATTATTAAGTTTCGTCAAGATCCATACAATGAGCCCTTCTCATCCACCTGCTTCGGCTGCTGAGTGTCTGATTTAAACATCATTGATGGAAAATTGGTTCCGCAGATCCGCTGAGATGTTTACTGAAATTTCAACGTGTTTTGAAATGTATGCCAAGAAATTGTTGGGCAGTGCAAGCATTGCATTGTTCCCAAATATTTTTGATTTAACTTTTTTTGAATGATTCAAGTACTGAAGCTGGCCAAGTCGTCAAACCTATCCAAGCTGTCTGCAAGGCAATTTGGCTCATCCCATGACCCTGCCCTTTCCTTGAAGCCCAGCACATTTTGTTTTCCCTTCAGCCACTTATTCAATCCTTTAGAAAGCCTGATTGAATCCACCTGTACTACAGTATTACACAGCTCATTCCTAATCCTAAACTTACACAATTTAAAAGGAAAATAAACCTTTATACCTTTTTTTTGTTTTTTGGTATCCTCTGTTTCTTGATCCTTCCACCAATGGGAACAGTTTCTCACCCTAGCTACTGTCCTGTTATGATTTTGGACACCTCTCCTTAATCTTGTTCTCTCTAAGGTATACAACCCCAACCCCTCCAACCTATCTATGTAACAAAAGTTTCTCATTCCTGGAACCAATTTTGTTAGATCTTTTCTGCAACTCCCTAAAGCCCTTTCTTCCTTCCTAAAGTACAGCACTCAGAATTGGTCACAGTACCATACCAATGTTTTACAAAATTCAACAAAACTTCCTTGCTTTTGTACTCAATGTCTTTTCTTTATAAGGCATAGAATGCTGTTTGCCCTTTTAACCTGAATGTGCCCATCACCTTCAGTGATTTGTACATAAGTACTCTCAGCTTTCTTTGCTTCAAGATCCCCTTTAGAATTTTATCCCTTTGTTTGTATTGCCTCTCACTGTTCTTCCAACCAAAATATACCATTCCATGCAGTTTAAGGATAGAAAATAGGAGCAGGAATAGGCCTTTGAGCCCATTGAGCCTGCTCCACAATTCAATGTGATCATGGCCAATCCTCTATTTCAATGCCATACTTCCGCTCTCTGCCCATAAGCCTTGACACCTGTAGTCTGTAGAAATCTACATTTTCTTCTTAACCACATTCATTGACTTGGTTTCCACAGCCTTCTCTGAAACTCCATAGGTTCACTAAACTCTGAGGCAAGAAATTTCTCCTCATCTCAGTCCAAAATGGCCTACCTCATATTCTGAGACTGTGATCCCTTTTTATGGTCCCCAAACCAGGAGAAACGTCTTCCCTAATACCATTCTCTGCAGCCCCGTCAAACCTTTATACGTTAAAATGAGATACCGTCTCATTCTTATAGACATCAGTGAATACAGGCCGAGTTGACACAATCTCTCCTCATACGGCAAACCTGTTGTCCCAGTTTGGTGAGACTTCATTGCACTTCTTCCACAGCAAGTATATCTTTGCTTAGGTAGAAGATCAAAACTGCAATTTCAGATATTTCCAGGCGTGATGTCATCATGGCCCTGTACAGCTGCAGTAAGACCTCCTTGTGTGCAGTTGTTCCTGGAGTCATAGATAGAGTCATAGAGATATACAGCACGGAAACAGATCCTTTGGTCCAAATCATCCATGCTGACCAGATACCCTAAATTCATCTAGTCCCATTTCCCAGCAATTGGCCCATGTCCCTCTAAACCTTTCCTATTCATATACCCATCCAGAAGCCTTTAAATGTTGTAATTATACCAGCCTCCACCACTTCCTCTGGCAGCTCATTCCATACATGCATCACCCTCCACGTGAAAAAGTTGCCCTTTAGGTCCGTTTTAAATCCTTCCCCTCTCGCCTTAACCCTATGCCTTGTAGTTTTGGACTCCCCCACCCTGGGGAAAAGTCTTTGTCTATCAACGATCCAGAGAAAATAGCCACAGTCTGTTCAGCCTCTCCTTATAGCTCAAACCTTCCAACCCTTTCAACATCCTTGTAAATCTTTTCTGAACCCTTTCAAGTTTCACAACATCCTTCCTTTGGGAGGGAGCCCAGCATTGCACACAATATTTCAAAAGTGGCCTAATCAAAGTCATGTACAACTGCAACATGACCTGCCAACTCCTATACTCAATACATTGACCAATAAAGACAAGCTTACCAAACACCTTCCTCACTATCCTATTTATCTGTGATTCCACTTTCAAGGAACTATGAAACTGCATTCCAAGATCTCTTTGTTCAGCAACACTCCCCAAGACCTTATATTAAGTGTATAAGGCCTGCCCTGATTTGCCTTTCCAAAATGGAGCACCTCACCTTTATCTAAATTAAACTCCATCAGCCGCTCATTGGCCCATCTGATCAATTGTACTTTGAGATAACCTCAGAGCCTTAAATAAGAGATGCTTAAATATTAGCCATTGCCTGTATACTGTCCTGACAATTTATTGCAGCCAACTCGTTTTTCATACCTTTGTGGTTTCCCTTGTTTAGATTTTGAGATCCCATTTTCAGATTGGACCACTTCATTTTCTATCCCAATGAAGAATTCTATTGTGTTATTGTGAGGTATCAAATGATTAAATATATTTGTGAAATTTGATTTACAATGATTTAGTGATGTTTAATATGAATCAGGAAGTATGAGGTCTATGCTGCATATAATCCTGTGTGCCAACTATGCACTCTTGGTAAAATTCTCTGTACTTTGTTTCCAGCCATTTTGAAAGGCTTGAAGAAGAAGGGGATTTTACATCCAACACCCATTCAGATCCAGGGAATTCCAACTGTGTGAGTACTGGAAATTTACATGAAACACCAATCCAAACACCAGGATTTCCAGCAAAGAGATAATTGTACTCCTCGCTGTTTGATGTTGTTGCTGGCCAACTTACTAGTACAAACACTGTTTACTGAGTTGAGAAACCACATTGAAAATTTGCATTTGTGCTGTTGGCTTGCTTCCGGATCTGTAAATTTCAACAGGGAGCCTTATTCTGGGAACCTGTTCAGTGATGAAGTGAGCTTTCTTGTTAATTTTTTTTGAACAGTTAACGTTCCTAAGCTCTTGAGATGGGTATTGGAAAATGAGGCAGATCTTAAGCATGCTTCAGGAGCTCTAGTTAGGAAGCATGTGTGAATCAAGATGTAGAGGGCACTGGGCCTGTCTCATTGTATTATAACACATGGAAATTGAAAGTGAAAAAATATTATTTGAAAAGAATAATTCTGCACATTTTATATATTTTATACATAAGTATTATACAGTTCTAAAAATGTATGATCTTATTCATGTTCCCTGCACATCACATGAATCCAGCTCTCTACTATTTGGGGAGTACAGGGTAGGCATCTAAAAAAGCCTTGTCATGCTCTTTGTACATGTTTTGGCATTTGAGCTTAATTCTGTGTAGTGGAAACCAGCTCTCAGAAGCACCATTTCACTACTTTTGGGTAATCATCTATGTTTACTATTTGATAATCAATACTGCCATGAGGGTGATGCCTGTGATTAGTGAAGGACAAATTGTAGAACTATTTCTGTCATCTTGGCTTGTATAATGAGTGCTGGAATTGTCCTGACTCTGCACTGTTGGATGTTATCTCATCTACCTGTCTGTTTCAGTTTGGCTGGCAGGGATATGATTGGAATTGCATTCACCGGCTCTGGCAAAACACTGGTGTTCACCCTACCAATGATCATGTTCTGCCAGGAGCAGGAGAAAAGGCTACCATTCTCCAAGAGAGAGGGTCCATATGGACTGATCATCTGCCCATCTGTAAGTGTCACTATATGCTCCTCCAGATAGCTCCTTAATTCATGTACTCATTTTTTTTACAGGATCATCACGTGAAATGAAGTTCACACTGGGATATATTTAATGTGGTCACTGGGAACATATAAACATGTTGAATGATTTTAGAATTAACTGCTGTCTGAGAAGTATGGCAAATGGAAGCAGGCGAGTTGACTGCAAGGCACTACAGAATACACAACACAGAAACAGACTATTCATCCCAACTAGTCTGCATTAGTATTTATACTGCATGTGGGTCTCCTGTTCTCGACAGAACTCATCTCAAATGTTGAGCATGTTATTCTAATGTTTTTTCTTTTATATACTCTGCTAGTTTTGGTTTGAAAGGTACCATAGAACCTCTCCTTATCAACCTCTCCTTATTAGAGGAAGTTCCATATCCCAACCACAATCCACATGAAAGAAACTACTGTTTAATTCCCTCCTGGATTAACTATGCACAGTATTCTGGCAACCCTACTCATGTCCTGTGCAAGTTGAGCATTGCTACACTGATTTTAGAATCATATACCCAGAATTAAATTCCATTTCTTTACATTTTTGCTTTTTTAATTGCTGACTTATGAAGCTGATTTTATTGATTTGTTCACCTGCATGCTTTGATCTTGATTTGCCCTTTTATTGAACTCAGTATTTTATTTTCCAAGCTGTAGCTAATTTCTCCTACTAAAGTGCAGGACTTTACTTTTATCTCTGTCAAAATTTCTTGACCACTTAACTGTCCAGTCTGCAAGAATTCTAATGCTGCCTTGTGTAATGTTGCATTTTTCTCATGTTATCTGTATCTCCTGTTTGGCATTATCTATAAATTCCGATAATGTATGTTATTTATCAGTGAATCAAAATCACAGTTATGAATAAGGACTACTCTTGGTGAAGATCCTGAAGACCCTTATAGAGTTATCTGCCTCCCTGTCTTCTGAATGACTACCTTATAATGCACTTCTCTGCTTTTTGCTTTTTTGTCACCTTGTTCTCGCAATTCCATTGGAAATGGGTAAATACTGGCAGAACTAGTTACTTGAAGATGTGAGAGATGTGGTAATGCTCTCTCTGCATTGTCCCATCAAATACTTTGACAGCATATACAGTATAGGATTATATATCCGATCAAACTCCCTCTATACCACCAAGAATTATGAAGGTTGTATGATTGACTTCAGACCTTCATAGTCGCCTAAACCTTTGTGAGTACTTTTGTTGTTGATGTGGCATTTCTTTTCTTTATCAGCCATAGTAAATGAAATCGGAAAGTTAAGAATAGTTAACTAATAGTTAACTTTTACAACAAACTGAAAGAAGAGACTTCGGTCAGACCATTGGGTGTGGCTTAAAATCAAATCAGAGTCGAAACCTATCAAATCACCCAAAGCCCACCCTAAGGTTACTAGTGACTGCAACTCGTGGTCTTTACCTTCCTATCCTCAATAGCTTGATTTGTGAAAATCAATATAAATCATTTTGGCTTGTGTTGCTTTGCAGTCTTTTATGCTGACATTACTGATGTGAAATTGCTCAATATTTTGTGAATAGAAAAATGCTGACATTAAACATCGGACACTGACAGATGTACTGAAGCAAATGTTGCTTTCGTTCCCATGCAGAGAGAGTTAGCGAGACAGACTCATGGGATTATCGACTATTATTGCCGCTTACTGGAAGAGGATGGTTTTCCCCAGCTTCGCTGTGCACTTTGTATTGGTGGCATGTCCATCAAGGAGCAGATGGAGGTTGTCAAGCGGTATGTATTGTGATGTGAGGTGTGTGATTTATATGTAATTTAATATAATTTAATTTGGATTTGTGAGTTTTGAACTAGTGACACATATGTTTTAAAAACCGAAAGAACTGTGGATGCTGCTAATCAGGAACAAAAACAGAAGTTGCTGGAAAAGCTCAGCAGGTCTGGCAGCA